ACCCAAGACCGGGCCTTGCGAGGCGGGAGGCAACCCTAAACCGACTCGGAACAGAAGCCGTTGCTGAAAATGGGTTCACGCGTGCACCTCTCTTTGTTCGACAAGAAACTCCACATTCTTCGCTGAGAGGTGTTAGCAGACGGGTTGTGACTGCTCTGTGTTCGTGATGCTCGAGCCTTGCATACCGTGCAATTCAGCACCGTAAAGCATGACCGTTTGAGCCAGAACTTTATCGCAGTTTGGATGATTTGTTCCAAGCAAGCACACCACATGAACATGACATTGTGACTCCGAGCATGTCTGATTCCTACCAGTTGAGGTCATCGGCTTAGATTAATTGAAATTGCAGGTACATAATCCCTGCTTCCTGCGCTCATATCTGAGACCAGCAGACAGGTGTCTTCGTTGGCATGAGTGCTGTTTTGGGCCTCATGGCGCGTTCCGAAATGATTCAAAGGCAGCAAAAACGCAGCATGCAGGTCAAGATCCAACCGCCCATTCCAACTTCCATAGTTTTTGATATCTTAGAAACGAGGTGCGCACACACACACACACTACACACACACATATATATATATATATGTATGCATACATACACCTGCAGCCAAAAGCTGCACGGAAATTTAATTGAAGGTTAGAGTTAGAGGTTCAACGTGTTTGGCTTCAATCGCTACTTGTTTGTGAGCCATGTAGAGTAGAAGCTGTCGATTTCAATTGCCAGTCCCTCCAGCCCTAGCTTGTCCGTGCGAGCTATGACATCAAGAGCTTTGCGTGTTCCGCTGAGGTCTTCAGGGAGAAGAACATTCCGGCTCCGTTAGACCGGAAAGTCTACCACCTCTTCAATGCTTTGATGCATTGGAAGACGCCGCTCTTTGTGCATATACCTTCGAAGCCTTTAGATCCCTCTCTCTATCCCTCTCTGTCTCTCGCACCCTCTCCCAGCTTAAATAACACAATCTGTCTCAATATACTGCAGAGGGTTGGGGGTGTGCCTTTCAAGGGGCAGCACGGTTCTTCTCCTAGCCCTTTGTGAGAAAAGGCACAGCCTTTGACTTAAACTGCGTGTGATGGATCTGCCAAACCTGCGTTGGACCTTCGGCGACCCAAAGGTATAGCTGCGGTGCGCTCTTCAAGGAGGGAACTCTGATCGGTGCCCCGGCTGCCAAGAAGCTTCCCGCTTTGGGGGAAGTTTGTTATTGAACTTCTGGCGTCTGAAGCTGATTGTGCAAGCTTCAGGTTCATCGCAGTGGGCTTGGGCCACGTGAGTGCTTTTAGGCGTGCCCTGTGCAGGTTTAACGATTGTACTGGGCTCGTCTAGGATTCAGGTTGACGCAGTGGGAGCAGGGTGTTCGGGGCATAAGACGGCCTGAACTGCGGTCATAGCAACAACACAAGATCGAGCGCGTGAGTTCTGAGAAACTCGTTCGCTCCTACAGAACCCCAATCCGAGAAGGAAGCCATGCATTCGTCAAGTTTGAAGACTCCCTATGATGAGTGGGAAAGAAGGATCCTATCGTCAGTAGAGTTCGGCGGTAGGCAACATCTTGAGAGACGTCATTGACCCAATGCGGTGCTTGCCGAAAATGAGTGGCCGGAAAAGACTACAGTACCAAGTCGCTTGTGAGAGTGGCGGGGTCGAGGACGCATCATGGGCAAGACCTTCGCTGTCGGCCGCGGCCACTTTGTCAGAGCTTTGCAAGTGAACCGTTCTTCTCATTTCATGTCGGGCAGTTTCTGAAATAGTTGTCCCAGGGGTGGTTGTACTGGCTGAGGCTACTGGCAGTTCGGTCGGTGATTCTGTCGTGATTCTGTCACTTCCCCATTCTGATCTTTTCTCCGAGTCCCTGCAGCCGGCGCAGCACAAACCTGAACAACCCAGAAAGGCTCGCGAGCTGCCGAGTCCTCTAATGTGTGAGGGCTCCGAATAGCTGTACTGTCGTACCTTCGGCAGTACCCGTTCAGCGGACGTTGTCGAAATGCTTACGCAGTCTTACGCAGAACAATAGCCCTGCCTGAAGCTCTGTTCATACTCTTGACCGCTTCGGATGGGTTTCTTAAAGCGGGCGCTGGACTTGTATCTGTAGCCGTGCTGACTTGTAGTCTCGTTGGAGGCAGGCTTCTAACTCTGTGGTCAGCAGCTCGAGGGTATACGAAGAGGCATTTCAGCATGTCCAGGAGGCCAGCCTACGGGCTTGGAGCAGACCCCTCGACAACTCTCCAAGCTGAGAGCCCTGCATCAGGTGTCATAAGTCAGCGAATCAGTTTCTGGTTTAGACCATGCAACGTTACCTGATACTCTACAAAACCCCCCTCAGCTCCCACCTGAAGCAGAACCAGCCTGAATCATCCAAAGCCATGGACCAAAGGCAACCAGACTTCGTCCGAAGCTTCCAGCGCAGACTTCCTCAAAGCCCATCCGGAGTTTGTCGAGGTGGGATGTTGTTCTTCAGCTCTAAGTAATCCGCAACCCTCTGCCTGACCCACGCCCTCGCCGCAATATTGCTTTTGTGGCATCAGGGGTTGGTTCAAGTTCTGGAATTTGGTTTTAGGGGTTTTGCTTTTGGGTCTAGGCTTTGCTCGATTTGGGTAAGGCTTATGATTCTGGCTTGTTTCAGGTGGGAGGGAGGCGCCCTGTGGTTCTTTAGCTTATCCATTGCGTGTGCAGAACGCAGTCTCCAGTCATTTTACAGGTATGTACAGAATCAGTCAAGCTGCACGAAGTCTTTTGCCTTTTGCTACCCTACTTTAGCTGCACCGCAAGCTGCAAGACGTGCTTCGAAGCACCCTGACCTCGCAAACAGCCCAAACCCATTACAGAAATGCATGGCCACATGTCATTACATGCTACGTATCAGAAAGTGCATGCATTTATTGCATTGTGCTTTGTAGAGTCTTCGGGGAGGTGTCGCGACACCACCTGTCACCGGACGGCCGTCATTTGCCGTGCGTTGTGCAGCAGATCGGTTAGACCTTGGTACGCCAGTGGCTTTGCTTGACTATGCAGGGCATTCATAAGCTTCATGGTTGAGGGCAGGTTGTTTGATGTGAGGTTCTGGGTTCGACGACGGGCCTTCACGATCGGGTGCAGGCCCTCGGTTCGTTCTAACTGTTTGCGATGATGGGTTGGTGGCTGGATGTACGTACTCGTGCCTGCTGCACGTTTTGAATGATTTGGCAGGGTCGTGATTGAAGAGGGTTTCAAAGTTGGAGCACTCAGTGAGACTGGCTTCAGAGGAATTTCCGTTTTCGCTGCACAGTACAGGACGACATGACATCACCTTCAGAAATCTGTGGCTGAGACTTAAGAAAATTTTGAGGTACAAGCTTGAATTTGTCAAAGTGCTTGGGCTTGTTTTTCTTCACACGGTTCTTTCAAAGGTCAATAACTGTAGGCAGTCGCAAACAAGTCAACCAGATAGGCAACTGCAAGCTTTCGTGTGTGTGGTATACGGCGTTTAGGGTTTTTGTGTTGCATGATGGGGCCGAAATTTGTATATCATGTGGTTTTGGTGCTGAGGCCTGGTTTGAGTCTCTGATTGCTTCCGGCAGTACTAAAGCATTAACGCTCAGCAACCGTAAACAACGAGCCAATTTCGTAACAAGACTCAATGCTGAAATGTGAGCCACCATAATCACGGTGCCGAGCAGTTAGGCTTTTGCATTTCTGAAATTCACGCCGTCGGCTGCCGCCAAGACACTGGACACGCCCGGCGACGACAGCTGGGATTTCCTGTGAGAGTAGGGCACCCGACCCTGGGACCAAGAGCATTGGACTGAGTCCTGTTTGGCCTGGAGAAATGTTAGTCTGGTTTATGCTGCTTAGGGCCGATATCTTGCGAATTCTTGCAGCTGCCCACAAGCGACAGGCAACAACTGCATGCATGACTGCGACTGTTTGCAGCCTGAGCAAAGAGTCGTCGTTGACGTGATGTGGCATAGGGTGCTTTCTGCAAGGTTGCTAGAGGTCGTCTTGAGTTGGGGGTCCTCGAAAACATGACTTTGTTGTAGACACTCGGAAACCTGCACTTGGGCCCTTCTGGGAGAACCAGCAAAAATGGCCAACCCCTTGATCTGCGAGTTGGGACAGGTGCTGCTGTTAGCATGATTCTAGGTACAGTAAGTAGTTTTTGGCGGTGATGTAGATACACAACTCCCGAACAAAAATCTGTCTAGAGTCTAGATAGCCTGAGTATGCTGTTCACGGCTTCTGCTTTTTACAAGCATGCCGTTAGTGCCAAAAACACACAGGAGCAACACCTTGCCATTTCGGCTACTGGGTCTTGCAGCTTTCAAACCAACAGCACAAGATGTGTCTCACCTGGGTTTCTACAGCCGCATGCCAGCAAATCCTTGGAAGTTCCCGGCAGGCCTTGGCAGAAGAGCACAAAAAGTCTGAAGTTATCAAACCGCAATCGGAAGAGAGAGAGAGAGAGAGAGAAAGAGGGACAGATGAAATTTGGGAAGTTCTTGCAAACGTGGGGAGGTGTGTCGGGCGTTGGGGCCTAGTTTGGCTTTGAACCAAGCTCTTGGTGTGAGCGCTCGTTTATCCGGGGGGAGTGTTAGGGCGCCACCAAGTCTGTTTCTAACTTTTTAACAAAATCCAAAAGCAAAGCTCCTCCAGGTACGCTTCCAACATGCCTGCCAACGAATTTTTCTGGCGATGCTAGAGCAACATTCCCAAGTTTGCCTTCCCCATTGCTTCGCAGTCGGATGTGCTTTCGCCGATTGGTACGGCAGAGTAGTGTACAGTAAGGGTCTGGTTACGGTGGGGGGCCACCCCCTCCTCCCCAAGGAAAGCAAAGTGGCTCAACATCATTATTGGGTACCCCCAAACGAGGGGCCTAGCAGAATTGATGGCCTCGCCCGCGTAAGCAGTTTAGGTCTGGCCCCAGCCCCATCCAGACAGCTGTGTGTCATGCACAAGATTAGTCCCAAGGGTTTGCTGGGCTACCGCCTTGAAGAATTGATACCCTGGCCTTCGCAAGAACAAACTTCCACAGGTCCCTCGCGCATCGCGCCGCAGCGGACTCCGCTGCTGAGGGTCCAAAGCCCAAGGTCCGGACATGCAGTTCTATGTTTCGTAGATCGCTGCTGTCCAACAGTTCGAGTTCTACATTTAGTAGTCGTTGTAAAAAGTATATTTAAAAGACTTCCGGTCTGGAGCATTCTCGTCCCGTGTCGTTGCGGAGAGGGCTCGAGCTGAAAGCGAGAGCAGCTCGGGCAATGCCCGCAAACACGCAAGGGATTCCAGCATACTGTTTGAAGAGGTTTCTTAAGAGTGATCATGCAACGTGACATGCATATAACCTCGCCTGGCTGTCAGAGTTTCAGCGCCGGAAAGCCCTAAGTTGTCATGAAGTCCGCAAAAAGGAGCGGAAGCTCCTGCAAAGCTAGCCCGAAGCCCGAAGTCCTGATATGTGGGCCGGAAGAATCGATTTGGACTGACTTGGTGGGAAGTGTTTGCAGGATCTTAGATGAACAACAACACCATTGCTTTAGAGACTCCTGGCTTTACAGATGTTAAGGTTTGATAGTCTTGTGCTTCGGGCCATCCGAGCTTACGTTGGACGTAAAGTCTATGAAAAGTGCTGCTTGCATAATCAACCGAAAAAGCCTCAGCGCTTCGATCTCCTACACCATCTGGGAAGAAAACGGCTCAGCAACAGGGATGTTACGACTTCTGTGACGGCTGAAGCCTCAGAAAACTGACAAGACAGGTGGTCTTCGTTATCGGTGGGCCAGGCAGCGGTAAAGGCGACGGAGCCAAGTGCTGTTCGGACTGTTGGCTTCAAGTTTAACACGTTTGTTTGCTTCATCGTCCCTGATGTATTGTCCGTCAGGGTTTATATGTGGTCAATGGCCACGTCAGGACCTAAACCAGAGTTTCGGCATCAATATCTGCGGCGTGTGCGTATCGTGCAGGGGGTTGGCTTTCAAGTGTTGGCTGCCAGAGTGAGTCCAGCAGTGACAGAAAACAGGTTCGTACTAAAGGGGTCCCATGGACTTATAGGGTTTGGCCGGGGTTTGCACATGGACCTCTCTCGAATCTCCACACATTTCTATTCAGACATAGATGCAGTAGCAGTAGCACTTGTCGGAGCGCTTGATGCGAGCATCATCCTGCTCTTGTCGGATCCTAGAATCCTAATCTGCGGGCCTCTGGACATGCAGTCTTGTTGTTTCATTGGGATTTACGTTTCCGGTCAAGTAAGTCCCAATCTCTGTATCCGGCTGCAGCGACCCGAACTACAAAGATTATTTAACCGGGTCTCAATCATTGTGTTGTTTTCTATTGTGCCTGTTCCAGATGTGTCTTTATTGACTGTGTTTGTTGTTTGCATTCGGGGTCGGTGTCATGCTACTAAGCTACCAGTTATAGTAGCGTGTATGCCCTACGACCGAAGCTTCAAGAATCCAAGAACATCATGAGGATGAGCTCTGTCGGAGATCCTTTCTGCTTCAGCCTTCATTTAACGGCACACCTCGTCTCCGCCTCTCTGTCTGTGTGTGCGTGTGTGCAAGTTTGACGCGATGCTTTCTTGCGATGCAGGTACGCAGTGCGACGCTTTGCAGCAGGGTTTGGCACATCTTGAGCTCTAGATCGTAAAATTCTATTCCACCCGAGGGCGGATTGTCATAAGAGAAGGTCTCGAGGGGGATGGGGATCAACAACAAATTAAACAACATCAAAAACAAATTTAAACACGATCAAAACAAAATTTAGCCAGGATCAACAAAAAATGAATACAGTTTCGCTGGGATTGCTGCGCTTGGTGCTTTCATTACTATTACTTCTATTATTTCTTCTCCTACTACTATTAATGCTGTAACAGTCTCACCAAACAGCACTTCGAATACAAGCACAAACAACCAAATACACACATATTTGTACATATATATACATATAAATACATGTATGTATACATATTTATATATGTGTACATATATATATATATGTATAGAGTATGTCGAGTTTATAGTTTATATAGAGTATATACAGTGTATATTGTATGTAT